ATATATGAAAAATTGATGTGGGTACTCAAATGAAAGGTCTCGATGAGTGTAATGTCGGGATGAGCTTATATCGTTATATCTTTAAAAATGTCAATAGTTCACAAGATACAAGGTAATTTCTTAATTATGTATCTAGAGATAGATCATTTTTAAATGCAGCCTCAATATTTATAATAAATTGACTATCAGTGAGAATTATATAAAGCTCTCTTAATAATATAGATTATTATTGTTATTATTATTATAATTATTACCGTCTATGAATATTTCAAAATAATAATAATAATAATAATATTAAAGTTGCAGGACGATGATAATGTCAACTTGAATCCAATACTAAAAAATCTCCAAGCATTGAAATGGATTGACAGTCAATTAAAACTGAATGTATCATTAACATTAAAATCATTATTACCTGACATTGACACATATTATTCATACAAAGGCTCGCTTACGACTCCGCCATGCAGTGAAGCTGTAACCTGGATAATTTTCACGAACCCCGTCGCTATTTCTTTCAGACAGTTGAACAAGTTTCGTTGGCTGTCCAACGGCGAAGCTACCCTCGGTGATAATTACAGGAACATCCAAGATTTAGGTAAACGAAAAATTTACCTAAGAAAATTAACTGACGACTTTGCTAGTAATTATGAATCATTAAATATTAATACCAGTGGCTTAGAATGGTTTTGGGATTGAAAAAAATTTTGAAGAAAAATTGCCATTGTAACAGAAAAAAAAATAAATATAAAAAGTTTTTTTTGAATCATTTTTTTTATCAGTATAAAATTAAATTTTAATTTCATTACTATGGCAAACTTTCTTCATTCAAATATTTTAATATTTAAAGTGTTTATTCAAGTAAATAGTATTTGTTATATATTTAATTACAAAACAATGGAAGCTATGTTTAAAAAACAAATGAAAAAAAAAAGCTATTTGACTAGTTACGGCTAATCACAAAATTTTTTTCATAACCTTAACTAGTCAAAAACTTTTTCTATATAAATATTATATATTTATATTCTTCAATATAAACACTAATAATAATTATCAATATTATATAATATATAATTTTTTTTCGTTATTGTACAGGCCTTGATTGTTTTTTTTAAATCTCTTCTTTAAATTTCCTGAGACAAAAACTATACTTCAACAAAATGGCCGACTTGACGCGCATGCGCACACGCAAAATGGCCGTCGAAATTCTTAACCATAAAAAAAAAATAAATAACCTCAAAAAAATATAAAAATGTGCGCGTAATTTTTGAACCTTTTGCAGAATAAAAAAAAATTCAAAAAATCTCATAGAAAAAAAAAATTTTTTTTATTTTATTCAAGTAAATAGTATTTGTTAATTTTAAAATATATTTAATTCCGAAACAATGGAAGCTGTGTTTAAAAAAAAATTTTATTCGACGTTACTAGTCAAAAACTTTTTCTATATAAATATGATATTTATATTATCCAATAATAATTATTTTATAATATATAAATTTTTTTTTCTTATTGTACAGGCCTTTGTTTTCAAATCTCTTTTTTTAAACTTTCTGAGACAAAATTATACTTCAACAAAATGGCCGACGTAACGCGCACGCGCAAAATGGCCGTCGAAATTCTTAACCATAAAAAAATATAAATAAAAACAAAAAAGTGCGGGAAATTTTTGAATTGTGCAACGTAAAAAATGTGCGCGCTTTTTAAACTTAGTGCAGTAAAAAAAAAAAAACTCAAAAATGGCAGTCTCATAGAAAAAAAACGTAATTACGACTCAATTTTTTCAATTTTATCCCTGATAATATTAAAAACCTGATGTTTAACCGCAAGATCACTAATAAGAATAATCTTCCCCGCAGCATCGGATCCAAACAACCCTCCAAGTTTTTTCTTCCTTGCCTCCTTAACCGAAATCTGAACCCCCTTTTCAATAATCCTAGGCTCAGTGATTTCCTGCCAGGTGTATCCCCACTGGACCTTCCAGCCTCCAAAGAGGTCGCTGTGCTCAATATACGCGATCCTCTTATCGGTCATCAAGAGTACATCTTTCCCGACGAAGGTATGATGGAAGTAAACGTCAGTATTTGCGTACTTACCTTTCTCCAAGTCGAACAGAATTTTGTTGCCTTCAGCCTCGGCATGAATAAAAGGCCTGACTAGACAATCAGGCCTGAGGAACCTCGGAGGCCTAACTCGCTTAACTTCCTCAGAAAGTTCCGTGGCTCTCCTTACAGCTCCAAAGGATCCACTTGCAAAGTCAATCGCTCCTGCAGTGGGTCTGGTTACCAATCCAACCACTCCTTTCCCGAAGCCCTTGAAGAACCCTTCGACGCCTTCTTCCTTCGCCCCGGAAATGGGCTTCATCACCACTCCAGTGACTCCATCAACGAATCCCATGACCAGACCCTTGCCGCTTCTAGCCAATCCTTCCTGCAAGTTAGCAGGCTGCTTGTTAAGCCCCTCCTGGCGCTTCCTTTGGTAGTCTTTATCGAAGGTCAGCGCAGCGAGACCTTTGCCCATAGCTCCGGTGATTTTGGACACTGCACCAGCCATGCCTCCAACAGTGTGACCAAGCATGCTTCTGACTCCCAAAAGAAGACCTTCTGCGAATTCACCGGGTCCTTGGATCGCTCCTTGGAAGGGTTCATAGAACAAGTCTTCGACTCCTTTCATCGCTCCTACGACCAGGCCATAAGGATTCCCGATGACATCCAGCCCCAGGACCAGGACGTAAAGCTGCTTGATTCCCTGGCCGGTGTAATGACTAGTCGCTTCATTGATTAGCTGGTTGTTGGTCATGAAGACGTAGTCTCGCTCAAAGTACCCGAACTTGAAGACTATGTCGTTGATGTCCGTCAAAGTGACTCCGATTCCTTGGAGCAGGACGTTCAGGAACTGGGGAACAGCACTGGGACCTCCTCCTCCGCCGGTCATGGAGAAGCTAACGTGGATTTTTAAGGGAGAGAAGTGGAGCAGGTCAAAGAAGTTCTTTTGCTCGGCTGTGGTTATCATTGCGACGTGGTACATTAGTGGTTCGTCAACCAGCTTCATGTCTACTGCGAATAATCTTGTTTCTTCAGCATCGTTAACCTGTAAGAGAATTTTTGTTATTATTGTAATTAATAATAATCGTAATTATTATTAATTACTACTGTTTTTCCTATTATTATTATTTATATTAAATCACTAATTTGAACTAATAATTACATCTTTATATATTAAAATTAGGGTCAAATAAGTTTTACTATGAAACCTGTTCAACTACTGGGTACTTTACCTAAGTGTTTTTTTTTCTATACATGGATCTTGCTCAAGTTCATGTAGAAGGAACTGGTTCAAGATTTATGTATATCTAGCTCAAGACATCTTGTGGAAGAATATGAGACAAGTCTAATGCAAGGTGCATTGAAAAACTTTCTGACGGATTTTTTTAATCAGAAACTCACAACAGACACTTACCCATCACTTGCTCAACATTTGCTCAAGATCCGTAATTCTCAGTAATTTGTTCATTTCTAAAGCATTTGTCAACCAAAAACTAACAGCACATGTTGAAGCGTGACTTGCTCAAGATTTGCTCAAGATGCATGATGCATTATATATTTTATAGCACTTTTTCCCCTCCACTACTTGAAGATCTATTGATTCAGTGGTGGTCATTTTAAAATAATTTTGTCTTGATCGATAAAACAGTAGGTCTATACTCTAAAAGGTTAAGCTGAATGAGATCCACTGATCCTATAGTAAATATAGGAGGGGTAGAATGATAAGAACGGTCATTCGAAAACATTTGATCTTGAGCAGATCTTGAGCAAGTCTTGCACAAGTATATTCAGCATGCTTCTGGTGTCAGTCTTTCTCAAGAATTGATATAGTTAGTTTATCGATAAGCATCTTCAGATTTTCTCAATTTTCTTACACAATTCTTGAGCTATAATCTGGCCGAAAGTTCTTGTACAAGGCTTGTTCAAGACTTGTCAATTGAATGTGCTACAAGTATCTGGAGCAAACCCATAGGTAGAAAAAGACACTAACAACTATCGAAATTGAGATCAGCCTTGAAAAAGATTGCTATGTGGGAACACGTTACAAACCTCGTTAGCTTCAAAGAAAGTCATCAGCGCGTTGATGAACCCAATATCAACCTTGACATGGAACTCCTGGATCAGGAACTTGAAGTACCTGAACTGCTGGACAGTGCTGTGCTCCAGAAGCCGCTTGACCAAACTCAGCTCCGCAAAAGGTTTGATCACCGAATTCGCGACACTTTTTGGCGGAGGAACAGGAGCTAAGATCACCGGGAAGACACACTCAGCAAGCTGATTGTCTATCTGGAGCCTGTTTATCTTAGCATGAAGCTGGACTTGATGAGCGGAGCTACGGTACTGGATCCAGAGCCCAGTCTGGAAGGTCCTTCGCATGTACCTCCTATGAGGCCTGAGCATCTCCATGTTCTGGAAGTCTACCATCAATTTGGGCTCCAGCATCACCCTGTAGGGCGGCTCGGTACCAAGTTGGACCTCTCGAAGGTACTTCTGGTAGCCTTCTTCAATTACTAGGACTTCAGTGGAGGTCAGAGGCTTCCAGCGGCTGCCGATTGTCTTCCTGGTCTCCCAAATTATCCCAGAGCTGGCGATTCTTAGGTACAGCAGCTCAGCTCGGGTTAGATTGTTGACTAAAGAGAGTCCCACTCCGTGGATGTTTAAGGTAACTTCCTGGTCGATGACCTCCAAATCGCCCACAAGCTGGCAATCTTCAGCAATCTTGAGATTGTTGGTGAATAAAAGCACTCGTTGGAACCCGTCCAGGAAGGAGACGTAGAAGATCTCTTCTTCAACCTGTCACAAAGGTTTTACTGTGTTTATTAGAGTATTTTTGGTTATTATTAAATTAATATTAATTAGTTAAAATTAATAGAAATAATTGGTAGAATTATTATTAATTTTCATTATTGTATTATTTAGTTAATAATTATTAAGTTTGAAGAGAGTGTAAAATTATTTTCTTTAAATTATATTCTTGGTGAGTCATTTTTTCTTAATTCTATCATAAATACTTGATACAATAAATTTTGATATTTGATCAAGATTTTTAGATACTTTTGGGAAGCAGCGCCACCTACTTGAGCTGAGAAAAAAATTTTCTCACCTTGAGAAAATTTTTCTCGAGAATATTTGATACCCATTTTAATGAAAATTAAAATAATAATAAAGTTAGCCGACATTTTTAATTTTTTGATTTATATTTTTAAATTAAATTAGAACAATAAAATATTTTTAAAAAATTGCACTTACAGTTTTTAAACTTTTTGACAAGTGAAATTTTTTTTTTTATTTTTTTGTAATCATTTTTTCAATAAAAAAAATTCTAAAAATTTTTAGATGTCGGCTAACTTAATTTTCATAAATTAAATTAGCAGACATCTGAAAATTTTAATAATTATTTTTATTGAAAAAATTGTTACTGTAAAATTAAAAGAAAAAATTTCACATGTAGAAAATTAAAAAAATTATACGTGCAATTTTTTTTAAGTATTTTTTTACTAGCAATTTAATTGTTAAAAATTTTTGAACGTCGGCTAACTTTATTATCATCCCATTTTATATTATTTTACCGTGCAATTATACATATTGAATGAAAAAAAATGAT